ATGAAGTGTTAGAAGTGTGGAAAAGTTCCAGACAATATGCTTTTTGCATCTTCCAAGTCTTCTGCTTGCATTATTTAAATCAGTATTCCTCAGCCTTGGCAACTTTAAGATGTGTGGACTTCAACTCCCAGGATTCCCCAGCCAGCACTGAAGTCCACACATCTTAAAGGTGCCAAAGGTGAGAAACACTGATTTAAATGAAGCAGTATTAAGCATCCTGGTCTGACTATTTAAGTTCACTTAGGATGCTACAGCAACTGATATATTTATTTCTTCTCAGTTGCAGAGAACCATAGCCAGTGAGATCTTGCTCTTCCTAACCAGCATTTTGGCTGAGATACCTCTATACTAATCCAGGCACGTCTGCTGGCAGATAAGATGTGCCGCATCTCAACCCCTCCAAAAGACAAATCAAAGTGCAAGTCTCTTATGTTTTCACATTGATAACATATCCCTTGGCATGGCAGTTTTGGATCCAGACCCTTTAGTGTCCTCATGCTTACTCCCCAGCAAGATGGGACTCCGGGAGGTAAGGTAACTCCCTCCCATGGCAGCACATACTTCATTCAGCTCAGTGTTGCAAACTGTTGTTGTTGTTGTTTAGTCGTTAAGTCGTGTCCGACTCTTCATGACCCCATGAACCATATTGCGCCAGGCCTTCCTGTCCTGTTGCAAACTGTTCCCAGTCCTAAAGTGAGACTTCCTGTGTGAAAATGGGAATTCCCATTTGCCAGAACCTCACAACAGAAAACACTAGAGTATCAGGCACTGGTAAGTGTCTAGTGTTTGCATCAGTTGATCACCAAAGGCTCAATTTGATTTGATAGGGCCAATACAACCCATCAGGAAGTGTCCTTAGACTTTAGGTATGTAACAGTTTAGTATAAAATATGTTTGTGTGTTTGCCACTTAGTGGTCAAAAGAAAACTCAATTTATCTAGAGAAGACTTAATAGTCTTCAGCTCCGGCTCTTTTCCAAGGTGGTTGCCAGTTTGAGGTCTATACTTACTTGCCACTAACTTTGGATTCAAATCAAAGGCAATGTGGTTATCTTCCCTCCACCCACCCCATTAACAAATACATTATAGACACAGGCCATAACGGCATGGGGCCAGGTTTTCTGAGGGACTGCCTCTCCCTGATTATGTCTACCAGTCCCATTAGATCTGGCAGGAGAGGCATGCTCCAGATCCTGTCTATTAGGGAACATCATCTGGCAGGGCCCAGGAAGAGACCCTTCCACATATCCCTTGGCATGGAAGTTTTGTATCCAGACCCTTTAGTGTCCTCATGCTCACTCCCCAGCAAGATGGGACACCGGGAGGTAAGGTTACTCCTTCCCACGGCAGCACATACTTCATTCAGCTCAGTGTTGCAACCTTACCTGCCAGACCTAATGGGACAGGTAGACATAATCAGGGAAAGGCAGTCCCTCAAAAAGGAAGCATTCTTATCATGGTACCCAGCATTTAGAACATTATCTCTCCAAAGATTAGACTGGCCCCAACCCTGCTGGCTTTTCATAAGTCCTTAAAGATGTGGTTTTATCACTGGACTTGGAGATCCGGATGTGTGGCAGAGCCCGTACATTGGTTGTGTTAATTTGTTGGTGGTGGTTCTTTTATCTTGGCAGCTGATTGTATCTATGCTGTTTTTATGTTGTTCTGTCTTTTTGTATAGTTTTTAACTGTTGTTAGTCATGAATTTGAGATGGGTGGTCATATAAATTGAAATTTAAAAAGAACTTTACTTTCCCTGTTCCAAACTATTTTCTCCACCCATTCTATGAATCCCAGAATGGAAACAGTAGAAGAATATGACTGATCAATTTTCAAAGAACAAAAACAGTTACAATATCTCATTAATAGTAGTCAGCCTTCCCCAATCTGGTGTCATCCAGATCAGTTGTAATTATACTAGGAATTCTGAATATTTTAGTCCCCAGTTATCTAGAAGGTGCCAGGTGAGGAAACCATTATCTTACTGTCATCCATTTCATACCTCAATGAGCCCAAATTTAACTTCATTCTCTACTTCATTATTATCCCCCTGCATTGGCTACTGGATAGGGGAGCTTAGAATTTCAGACTGAGGGGAAGTTGTTTGCTTAGGCTGAATTTTGAGCTATGAGTCTCACTCCATAACATCGAGTTGATTAGTTCCTGTGTCAGATCAAAGTTTTATTTCCTGCCTCAAGCCATAACCAAAACAGGCATGAATTTCATGGTATTCTTAATTTAAAATCTTAGAAAACCTCTTTATAACAAATGAGATCATTGGCTAAATGACTGCTAGTACTGTGTGAAGGGTCAATTGGAGGCAAATATACCCATCAGATTTCTGATTGTTTCAGGGAGGGTAATGCATATTAAACACTTCAGTTGGCTACCTAATTGTTTTCAGGCCCCAAGTTTATTTAAAGGAGCATCTCTTCCCTTATTAACCTGTCCTATGTTAAGATTTTCTGAGGAGGCTTTTTGTCAGGGGTACAGAATTATGACTTGCAAAGGACAGTCTTTTCACCTGCATCTGAAGATAGCAGGTTAAATTACTGGAGCAGGTCATCTGCTCTTCAATATGTCACCACTGTTCTTTGTCCTTCGGTATCTGTTGAGGCAGTCACTTGACTCAGTCTGCATAATGGCAGGACCAGGTACAGGTATCAGAGGAAAATGGAGTTAATAAAGGATAACAGCAGCCAATAAGAGGGCAACAGTTATCTCTCAGAGATAAATACTGACCCATGTCAAATTATTTCCATTACAAATCATAAGTGCAAAGTTCAGCAATGCTTTATGTCTTTACCTCTAGTTAATGAATCAACCTCTGATGACATTTTAGATAAATTATGCCTTTGTAATGGCTTTAAGAAAATGAGGTTGCTCAAAAGCAACCTGATTAGTTTAAACATTGCTATGGATTTGAAATATTTTGTTTTATCTGGAACTGTTTAATTTTTCTCATTTGTCACTAACTAGATCTTATAAAATGCTAAATTCCTATACAGCTGGAAAAAATAAGAGAGGGACAGTTTCTTATGTGGAGTCATATTCCTTTGCTACTGTCTGCTGAAAAGTCCAAACCTGCTGTCAGCTTGCAAGGTAGGATAAAAAATTATTTTAGAAATTGTTCAGGAAATGAACAGTTCCTTTTTCATTATTTTTAGCATTTGTGATCTAGTCTATATTATATAGACTGTATAGACTAGCATCATGGATCACCATATCCAAGAGATGATTGCCCTACATCTTCTGTAATTAAGCAGTGTTGTTTGTCTCTTTGCATGAACAATATAACTATTTAATGGACAGTTCAAGGATGCAAACAAATATGAAACTGTTTAACTTAATGTTTTAATTTTTTTCAAAAAATAAATATTATTAAATGAACTAGTACTACATATTCCCCCCTGCCAAGTCCTGCTATGCTGCTTCATCATGGCAGTGGTGGTGGGTGTCCCTGGGAGTGTAAGCCAAGACTATAAGCTCCAAGCAGAGTCTAGCCAAGCTATGGTAGAAAATCTGGAGAACAACACAGTGGCCCATAGATTGGAAGAGATCAATTTATAGACCAATGCCAAAAAAAGAAGATTTAAAGGAATATGTCAACTATTGTACAATATCCTTAATTTCACATGCTCTTGAACTAATGCTTAGGATCATCAAATGCAGATTAGATCCCTACATGGAAAGAGAGATGCTGGATGTTCAAGCTAGCTTTAGAAAAGACCAAGGAACATGAGACATTGTTGAAGATACATGTGGATAATTGAGAAAGCCAAAGAATACCAAAAATAAATCATTATGTGCTTCATTGATTATACAAATGTCCTTGATTGTGTTGACCATGTCAAGTTGTGCAATGTTCTTAGGAAAATAGGAATCCCAGAACTTCTCATGGTCCTCATGCACAACTTACAGACAAGACAGAAGCTACAGTTTGGATGGAAGACTGGCTATAGGTCAGCAAAGGAGTAAGACAAGGCTGCATACTCTCCCTTTAATCATTCAAAGAAAAAATGGATTGTGAATAGATTTGACCAGAATGTAACTTATTATAATGCTACAAACTCTGATGATGTTATAATGAAATATTGATTTTCCTTAACCTTTGATCCACTCATTTGTTATCCGAACACTGTGATGGAATATCACTAGAGTGGTCTAGCATCTAAATAAAGGAAATCTGTGGATTGGTAGCATCTTCCCAATATTGTTCCTCCAACCATTTGTATAGTCAGGGTATGAATAATTGCCCTGATCATATAAAATACAATTATATCCTACCTGAATTTCTGTAGTTCGGCCTTCTCCAATGTTACAGTGCATTCAAAAAGTATTCAGACCCCCTTCACTTTTTTCAATTTTGTTATGTTGCAGCCTACATAACAAACATATACTACAATCGTTCAAATTCGTTTTTTTCCCTCATTAATCTACATTCAGTATCCCATAATGACAAAGTGAAAACAGAATTTTAGAAATGTTTGCAAATGTATGAAAA